GGCTGCGTGGTTCTGAGTTACGGGCTGGGCTCAAACCGTGACATCTTGTCATCCTGCTGCCCCCTTGTTGGCTCTCTAACATGCCCCATCTCTTGCTTTTGTAATGAATTTTCCCCAGTTCCTTCTCCCAGGTTTGCTGAAGCAAGCCCTGTGGGTTTGCTTTTTGCTGTGGTGCCACCTTCCCCTTCATCCCTGGTCTGCTAATAAATAAGGATGTGTACCTGCAAAGATGCTGCAAGGGCCAAATGAATGTGGGAGGATGATCGTTACATTTGATCATGTAAATTAAATGGCTTACTAATAGAAGAGACACTCTCGGAAGTATCTGATTTTGGCTGTTTGGGGTCACTCAGGCTGTTCCTTTGAGCTCTGTCTCTGAATGAACTTTATGACCAGCTTTTTATCAGTGTCTCATTGGGAAGGCAAAGGCAAGAAGGAAGCTCTTTTTCCCTCATGCCAAGATGGACTGTCCCTCATGCATAGCTAGCCTGTGGAGATGATACTATTGCACCTGTGCTACTCTACCCTCTGTCTTGAAAAATGAGGGAAAAAGTAATGCTATATCACCTTTCCCTGGAAAAGATGAAACTTTAGAAGATATGATTAGCAGCCTGTGATATAGCACATGTGAAAGAGGATGGATGGGGGTTGACTCTCCTTTTCCCCTTCCGTACAAGATCCTAGGTTCTGTCCAGGGAAGCTGGGGAGCCAAACTGGGTACTAAAGAAAGGGTACCCTAACATACATCTGTCTGAGTCCAACCCACCCAGGGCTGGCTGTACCCACAGAGAGGGATCCTTCTCACTCTTCCTCTGTGTTTCTTTTCCTTCTAGGGGGACTTGAGCCATCCCCAGACAAGAGGACCCTAATTTCTCTGTGGGGCCGGTTAGTCATCCAGAGGGTGAGTGCTGTATGGGCCTATGCAGACTGGGCTCCTGCTGCCCCAAACTAATTTGTCTGCTTTTCTGCTGCTGGCCAACAGATTCCATTTCTTTCCACCCAATCCAAATGCCTCTGGCTGGCTGTCAGGACCTTTTTGCTGCAGGAGCTGTAGTACAATAGGGCATGTGCTGTGTGAACCATTTTATTTCTGGAGACTAGAGCTTACCAATATTCATGTAATATTATTGGGTCCAAAACTTGGCCTTTTGAAAAGTCCCTTATCAATTAAATACTAAAAGAAAAAAAATTCAAAATCTAAAAGCATTATCAAAACAATTCTTTGAACTTTCCAGCTGCAGACACCCTGTTTCCTTATCCATTTATTTGCTGTAAAAATATATATGTGTCAGGATTTAAGGCAAGCAGGAAGCTGAACAGCCAAACCGATTTCCATTGCAAATTCTTCTCAGTGAAAATGGCTTGGATGAATTTCCTGAAACCAGCTTTGTAACATCTCCCTGTCAGCTGTTGTTTTGGATGGACAGGGAAGGATGGGGAGGGAAAGGAGAATGGAAATCTCATATGGGCAATGCATTTCTTGATTATGGGGTATGTTTTTTTTGCCTGATACTTATTGGTAGTTCTCAGGTTGGGACTGGCCCTTTTCTAAATGGTACACAAGGCCACTCACTGTATACCAGCCCTACCTGCATCTCACATTGTGTATCTGTGCATCGGAGCATCGTCTGTCTCTCTGCCAGCTGCCTGTGCCTACAACCCAGTTGTGATTTCATTAGCATAGTTGGAGAGCAGGGTGCCTCTTACAGCACTCTGTGCTTTCCCACTTGATGTGCCTTGTCCCCCCAACTGTCTCTGCCCAGAGAAGCTGGGTTGGGGTGGAGCTGCCAGCTCTGACAGCCCAACACAAAGACCCAGCAGGAGACCAATGGCTTTCTCATCCGAAACTTCTACTGAGAGCTTTGTCTCATGTGAAGACCCTGGGTGGGAAGTCACGTTGCCTGAGTTTAGTTCGCAGCTTTACAGCCCATTGATGACTTTGGGCCAGTCCCTTGTCTTGTCTTGTCTTGTCTGCATCCCCCTGCCTATCTGTACAAGGAGGAGGATGGTATTTCTGATCATGCATGGCCACCAGCTCTAGCACTGGGTGCTCTGTCTCTTGCAGCTCAGTGTTGAGATCTAAATTTGTCCCTTCTTATGCTGTTGTAGCAGAGAGCCAGGGGTCTGTGACATGCTGTAGCATGATGGTGGGACTGGTGGGTCCCGGGAGAGGCTGTACCTTTCACTGGCAGCTTGCCTGTGGCTGCTCCTTTCACCGAAAGGACCAGGTAGAAGATAATCATGTACCTTAGGAAACCAGCCTGAAGACAGCATCTCTTGTAATCCTACCCCATTACTGGGCAGCACTTACCCCAAAGCCTGATGTTCTCTGTCCCTGTTAATAGCTGTAATTATAGAGATCCACTTACACTGGTGCTATGTCCTTGTCTGGTCCAAGTTTCTGCTTCATTGTGCCTTATATTTTGTGGGAAAATCAATACAATTTGGTACTGAGTCTAGCAAATCAAGAGATTGCTCAGAGCCTGGGTTCATCGTTACCTACCACACATTTTAGTGGTTACAGTTAGTATCATCTGTAATGTGGGTCTTGTTTTAAAATTTCCTGCGTATCTGTCCATCTCTTCATGTGCTCAAGGTACATCATGCTGGCTTTACGTTTATAGACGGCACGTTAATGTGAAGGAAGGTTAAAAGCTGCCTCTTGAGCTCTGCCTTGGCCTCTGCGTTGCGCAGAGTATGTTCTTTATTTGTTTCTCTGAAGTGGGCTGGGAGGCCTGGGAGAGGTCTCTTTTCCAGGGTGAGGTGGAGAGCTGCCAGCCCAGCCTATGAACCACCTTCCCAGCCCTGGGAAGATGGAGAGGAGATGAAAGCGGAGGAGCCCTGGCAGTTTGCAGTCTTCTGCATGTCGGCAGCGAGAGCTTTTCCTCCCCCACACCGTGTTCCCACATGCGTTGGCAGAGTCAACACTAGGTCCTACGTCCTGACTGCAAGATAAGAGCTCAGTTTTTATTTAATCGTCCCCTGTTGTCCCAGCCTGCTCTGTGGTGTGTTCATGCCACCATGCATCCACCTTTACCAGGCTTTTAGGCAAAACCGCAGCCTCCTCTTCCCTTATGCAGGCCACTTCTGCTCATCTGGAATCTCAAACAGCACTTAAGTAATAGATGGGCATGATTTAAAAATAGCTTCTTCAAAGGTGCAGAGACCTGGTGTTTTCAGCTAGTTTACTTGGGTGCTGGCCCAGGTGCTCTCTCCCATCTGCTCGTGACTTTTTTAAGGGTCTGTGTTCAGCAGTGGGGTGGCACATACCATTTGCCTGCCTGTTTCCTTCAGACTTTTCTGTGGACTGACACAGGTAACCTGCAGAGCAGCATGCTTTCTCTTTGGAAGTTAGCTTGGAAGATTGGTTCTTCTGCAGAGACTGTGGTGGGATGGGCTTCTTGCTTTCAGGGAGAAGGGTGGAATGGTGATGGTGGGAGGTGAAGATCCCACTGCGATTCGCAAGCACATCTCAGCACATGCCAGAGTTTCCTGATGGTGTGCTGTTCCCCATGCTGTGTTCATGATGCTGGAGACTTAGGCAATGAGCAATCCTGGTTTATAAGCTCCTGAGGTAAGGGGCCTCCTAATCTTTCTTTGGAGTATAGTAATTTTGGTGGCCTGTATTGACTGGGGGGGCAATTACTTCATCCAGAGGGAGAGCTCTTGGGTAGCTGGTTTGTTTGTGTTCCTGACTTGTGTAGGTTGGTTGCTGTTTTGGGTGGTTTAGGCATAGCTCCCTACCAGTTGTTCTTGTTAGAGTAAGCTGGCAACAAAGAACTTTACTAAGAATATTTGTTATTGGAGAGGAAAGCAAGGACAGTGTAGAGGGACCTGCAGCTGAAGTAGGAACCAGGGACAAGAAAATGGGCAGCAACTTTGGTGAGGATGGTACTGTCTTGTTCCATCTCTTGTGGAGCAGGAAGATGAGCAGGGACTTCACAAACCCTTTGTGGCTGGGTAGTCTCTGGCAGAGGGGTTGTGTTGCCAGAGGTGCTTCAGCTGGAAACTGTGCAAGGGCTGGGCCTGGTGCAAGGACCCGTCTGTGCCTGTTCAAGACCTTCTGCATTCTGCAAAGCCATGGCTTGCACCTTGCTGCTGGGACATGTTTATGGCTGCTGTGGAGAGGCAATCCTTCTCTTCCAGACCTGTCTGTGCCTTAAACCTGCCCACAGCTTTCTGCTGTTCTTCCTCCCAGGCCTCGCCTTGAATGTATGCCTGTGTTTTGAGCCTCCTACGTGATGTCATTCCTTAGCTCTTTTTTTTTCTCCTCTGGAGCAATATTTTTGTACTCAGTTTCTTAGGATAAGCTGCCTCTTCCTTCAGATCTTGAAGAGCTCGCAGGATGTGGAAGAAGCCGTTCTGTTCCTCTTAGGCTTTTTTCTTTTTTTCCCCTAATAGAAGACATTTATTATCTCCAAGTCTTTTCTCCAAAGCGGGGCCACCATTTTCAACTTCTATCACATCTTTCTTTTTTCATCTGTGGGCTGCATTGTCTGAATTTGGGGGTACGCAGCCAGCAAGCCAACAACAAGCATATTGGGTTGCATTTGCAGCCCACTTGTATATTTAAAAAGCAACAAGTAGATTAAAATGAAGCATTGGATAGGCTGCGATTCATAACAGAGCATCAGCTTGCCAAGCTCATTTCCCTAATTTCTTTCAGGCTGGGCAGGCCATGGAGAACATCATCACTTTGATCCTTGAGTGAAAATGAAAGGTGGCATTTCATTCTGCTGGAGAGGTTCCTTCAGAGGCTGTATCTTGTGATGTTGGGGATAGTTTTGGTACATGAGCAAATGCAGGAGCCTGGACTTGCTGGATTCCTGACTTGCACGCGTGGTAAAGGCTGAGATGAGGGTTGTTCTAGAGGACTGCAGACCACTTCTGCCTGCTGGGCATCTCTGCTGAAGGGAAATAAAATCAAACATAGCAGCATTTATGGTCTAAGGGCTTCTTGGTTCCTGTCCACAGGGCTTTTGGAGGAAAGGGTGCCCAGTCTGAGATGTGCTCGGAGATTTGCAGAGGTGAAACTGACTTCTGATGCCTTTAAATGCAGAGATTCCCATTTCACAACTGTTCAATGAACAGTTGTGAAATTGTTGTGGCTGGCCTCAGTACAACACTGCTGCACAAAAATATGTCTCTTGGCTTGTACAGTTGGCTTGATGTCCATCCTGATGGAGAAACAAGGTGATGGGAGGAAAGGGAGGACACAGAAAGCTCCCTTGGTGATCCTGTTGGAAGGGCGTCAGAGCCTCCTTCATGTTGAATGCATTGGAAACCCACTGCAAATCCTTTTCACTTGGCACCTCAGATTTTCCTGAAACTGTGGTGGTGTGATGGGACATACTGGAGTTCTTCACCCCTGCTTCTGCTGAGTGAGTTTCTGGAGGCTTTGCAGCCAGGTCCCCAAAATCACCTTTCCCCCTGCAGAGGAAGCTCTGTGCTGGAGAATAGGGACCATGAAGAACATCAGGTTGTTCTTTGCAGGACAGCTGGGTCCTTGGTAGCCCTTGTAACCTTGATGCCTACACCTGGTTTAGGTCTTAGGCCTGCAAAAGCTTGTGCCAAGCATTTCAGTCCTTGCTTCTGTGGACAAAGCCTCCAAGCTGCCCAGCACACATGGGCAGGGGAGAAGGTAAGGAGATGTGCCTTCTGCCCTCCCCTACACCTTCATCCCCTCCCTGCGAGACAAAGGCAGGATGCTGATGCCCACCAGGGCCGGGTGCTTGCTCTCTTGGCTTCTTTTGTGAGGCTGGCGGATGTTTCTTGCTTGCTGGAGCTGTGTGGCTCTGACTGCTGGGCTGGGAGCAGCTGCTGCTGCCAGGCGGAAGCACTCGGCAAGGCTTTCCTAGACAGCTTTGAATGGGAGCCAGGAGCCCTCTCACTACAGGAGGAGATCCATGAGGTCAGGAAGTACAGCAGCAGCGGCAGCTCTGGCTCCACGCTGGGGCTGTTGGCTTGGTACACGGATCCCAGCCCTCGTCTTTCCCAGCAGTGCTCCTGAACGGCTCTCCTCCTCCCTATCTTGCTCAGCGATTTGTTGGACAGCCCTGCACAGCTTTTGGGAGTGCAACAGTTGAGTACTGCAAAAATGACAAATCTGGATAGGCAGGGAAGATGCCAGATGGCAACCTGTGTCAGAGTTTCAGATCTTGAAGAGCCTGCAGAGGATGGAAGAAGTGCTGTTTCTGCAGTGTGTGGGACTGGGAGGCTGTGCTTTCGTGTTTCCCTCTGTTAGTTTATGGTCAGTTCTGTCTGGGCTCTGCATTAGCTGCTAAGAAATAGAAGCTTGTGTTTATCCTCCTTGGAAATCCTCATATCAGGAGAAGCTTTCACAACAGCCAACAGGCTGTAAACCCCTGTCTGGTGGGTCTCCAGCCTGAGCATGAAAACTTGGAATGTCTGTTGCCACCTCTCAGGCAGGAGCTCCACTCTCTCCTCTGCCTCTGTTTTTTAGGAGAGCCAGAAACACTGACTTTGGAATGGCTGTTTCTTGAACTAGCTCAAGTGGTGGTGGTGATGTTCGTGAAGCATCAAAACCTGTGCATATGTCAATGGGCAGCCTTGTTCTTCTCATGTTCGGGAGCAGAGTGTGATGCGGAGCTATGAGGTGGTGTTGGTAAGGTCAATTTAGGGATAAGAGCAGCTGCCTAAGTCTGTAACAAACGGCCATGTGGAAATCCCTGCTTTCCCTGCAGGTTTGGCCAGGTTCCCTCTCCTGGGGCATTTGCGTGTGCTCTGATGAGCACTTGGGTCTGCACATTCCCTGTGAAGAGCCTGCAGCATGGATCCTTTGGGAAAGGGAGCAAGCTTGCCTGAACACTGATTTTTAGCACACATTAATTCAGGCAGCTCTCACGCCCAGAGCTGTCCATCATTCCCCACACTCTCGCTCTATATTAGGACATGTTTGCAGCAGTGGTATGAAACAGTCAGGTGGGCTGGACTTCACCGTCCTCGGCAAGCTGCAGAATCCCTTCTGCCATTGCTGGGGAGAGGATGGCATGTGGAGTGGTGAAGAGTTGGCCAAGGTGCAGCAGCTTCAGCTGCAGTCCTGAGCTGGGGAAGACCCTTAAGCTGCTGTGTATAACCACCTCGGCCCCCACATCCTGCTGCAGTGCGGACCAGGAGCCTGGTGTGGCTGTGTGGGCTGGCGGTCTTCTGAAGGGATAGGCCAAGCAGTGCCTTCCGCTGCGGTGGTCTCGAGGGAGGACCCTGTCCTCAAGGACTCATGTCTTCTCTTCCCCATATTGAGATTAGGCTTTTCTCACTGCCTTAGCAAGTCTCATAGGCCTGGGTTGTTGTGCAGTTCCACTTGAGCATCATCATGGCAGCTACTTCATCATCAGCATCAGATGCAGAGCAAGGTCCATTGTAGCCGCTGCAGGCCTTTATTTGCAGCCTCTCTGTGTTTTGCTGGGGGTTGCAGATCTCCCTGTTCTGTATGAAAGATGGGAGCTGGTTGCAGAGACCCTTTTGTGTTCATCTGTGAAGCTGTTCTGCTTCAAGAGCGATCCTCTCCTGGCCAGCAGTGTTTGGTGGAGACGGTCAGTCAGTGTTTGCTCCTCAGTCCCCATTTCAGCCTGTCACAGTCCCTCATGGCAGTTGTGTCTTCCTGAGAGACAAGAAGCCTGTGGTGCTGATTTCTCTTATTCCTGGGAAGTAGTGTATGTGAGAAGTTCATATATGTGAAGATATATGCATTAATGGAGCAGAGCAATGTGCACACTCAGTGTGATCACAGATTGTCTCCTGTAGCCTTGCTTTCAAACTGCTGCTCTCCCTTGGGCGCCAGAACAGACGCACATCAGACTTTTCTGGGAAGCAGTGGCACTTTCAGGTATGGACTTCGGGTATCACATTATTTTCACCTCATTTCCTCCACAGTGTCACTTTTCCAGAGTGTTTAACAACCTTCAGCTTTTCCAGCAGTGAAGAATGGCACAGTAGCCAAAGGACATTGTGGTTTTTGCTCTGGTTGCCCTTTTACACACCCTCCTTTGCCCTTCTTCAGGACTCTGGATGCTGAGAGAAGGGCATGAGCTTTGTTTGCCTTCCTGCTACCGAGACAGCAGCTCAGAAAAGGTCTTTGACAAGAGGCGGTTGTGTCTGACTGCTCCCAGCTTGAGTGGGTGATTGAACTGTCTGAGTGGTTTAAGGTTGCAGTCTGGTGGGGATTGAGGCACAAAGTTCTGGCCTCGTTTCCATTAGATCTTTGCGGTGTTAGCAAACGCATCAGATGCAGGCTGGGTCTAGAGTGGCCTTTGCTGGCACACTTTGTACCGGCTTCCATGGTTTCAGGAGCTGGGCTGGTGAGCCCAGGGAGGAGGATGGAGTGATTTACCATTCCCGGGGGGGGGTGTTTTCCATTCCCGGGGGGGGGGGAGTGGCGGGAGTCTAATCGCTGGGCAGTGGTGTTGCAGGCTGCGTTGGGTGGTGATGGGCTGGGGGAACCATGAGCCGGTCTTCGCGCTACCTGCTGTCTGGGAGATGTCCCCAGAGCTCACAGGTAGTGGCTGTGGACGAGTGTCTGATCCTGAGGTGACTGGCAGTGGGCAGGGGTTGCAGTCCAATGAGGGGGTCTTCCTGAGTTAAAGTTTGTTCCTCTTGGTGGAGATGGAGAAGAAATTCAGGGGATGAGGTGTGGGAGTGGGGTGAATTTTCTCCTGCTGAGGGGCCGTGGCAAGCACACAGTGCTGCAAAAGCTGGTTTGCCTATCCTGACCCTAATCATCATTCCCAGTTAGTACCTTTTATGATAGCATCTCTTCCTTCCCTGTGGGACATGCCAGCTTCATCTCCTGGGAGCAGGGGTGCCTCTTCTGCTCCCTCCTCCCTCCTGAGATGGCCACTGTGTCTGGAGGCATTGTTAGCTGGAGGACAGGGGGTGTGGATGTGCCACCACCTCAAAACTGCCTTGTGGTTTGAGGTTTTGACACAGCGGATGAAGACATGGAGCTAACAGTGGGGGTGCTGGAACTCTTCCCTGCCCCCGTGGACGTTGACATCCAAATCATGTTGGCCAAGGCTTTCAAATCTATACAATGATTCTGGATGACCAGCTTGAGATAAGACAAATCAGAAACAGTGCTGATTTGTCTCTGATTGGTTAGTCTGGTTTTCACTTCTGGAAAACCAGACCTCTTAAATTGGTTAGTGTAGGGTTAGCTTTTGATTTACACAGCCTGATTTCTTATTGGAACACTTCCTTACCTTTTGAGGTGTGCTTGGGGAATATGTGAAGTTTGCATCCAGTCAGGCTGAAGGATTGCAGCGTATCACAGCATAAACATGGTTTTGTATTAATTCTGATGGATTATTTCACCCTTTTAAAATTAACTTTTATTACTAGCAGAGAGTATTAGGTTAAATAGCTCTGGCTGTTGCAGTTCCATGCTGTACTTTTTAGACCAAGTTTCATGGGTTTAGGTGAGGCTGTCTCAATGTTTGAGACCCCAGAGCATTGGACCATAAAAGCAAAAGAAAGACAGTGGATCCTGGGGGTGCAGTATGGGGTCACAGGCTGAAATAAGGGCAATTTTCTCTGGCTAGATTCCCAGGATAGTTAAATGTGCTGGGTGGGAAGAAGGTAAGAAAGCCTTTGACCCCTGGGGCATGGGGACCATCCCACCATCTCCCCATTTCCAAGCCACGCTGGCCAGGGTGGTGGTATGTCTGCAAACTTGAGATGAGAGACTAGGAAGGTAATTCCATAAAGCTACATTAAAAACACTTTGTATCCCTGATGGTCATTTGATGGTTTTCACCCCAAGGAGCTGAGGGGTGGCTCTGCCAACCATAGCAGAGGATTGGGTTTACTTTGTCCCATCTTCAATCCCTACTGAAGGCAAGCAATTTAGAAGACCATTAAAACCTTAGAGGCGGTATCCCCTTGTACAATTAGGTGTCTCTGTGTTACAGCATGCCAGATGCCAGACCTCACAGCATTTAGGTGCTCCTGGGATGCACAAGAGATACCAGGAACGCTCAATATCCGAGGAATGAGGCTGTCCTTTGCAGATTTCTGCCTTTCCCAGCAGAAAGGGGGGCTGATTGCTCAGCCCTGCTGCAGGGGGGCCCCCTCTCCTAATACTGTTTATCTTCTTGTAGGTGGGTGCTCCTGGAAGTCCTGAGCTGGGGTCGGCTGGAAGATGACTGAGTATAAGCTGGTGGTGGTGGGAGCTGGTGGTGTTGGGAAGAGTGCTTTGACGATACAGCTCATTCAGAACCATTTCGTTGATGAGTATGATCCCACGATAGAGGTAAGTGGCTCTGGGCATGGAGTCTGTCTGCATGTCTTCCTCTCATTCTTCTCCACCTTGCCTCCAATCCACAGTGTGCTCAGCTTGGTCCCAAGCAGGGGTGAACTTAACTGAACTAAAGCAGGGGTGTTCCTCTGCTTCACAGAGCTATTCTAAGTCTCTATGCACATGCTCGGAAGTTGCAGTGACTGACTTGTGCCTCCTGCAGAAGGACAGTGGTGTCTGCTGAAAAGAGACTGCAAGGGAGGCAGCAAGAGAGGGCAGAGCCAGGCAGTGGCTGAAAGACAGCACAAAAGTCCTCCTTTCTGCTGAGATGAC